GTGTTATTATTGATAGCGCCACCTAGTGGTATAGAATAGCAGCCGCTCATAGGTCCATTCAATTTACCTGTCAGTACTTTGTTTTATTTCTTAACAGCAGAACCAGAAACACTGGTTAAAAACTACTAAGTATCACGTAGGAATAAAATTAGGAGGATTCAGATATAAAGCTCCTCTGGCAGGAAACAGAAAAGGATACAGGACTTTTTATTTCTCTGCGCAATCCATCCACCGGTTCCTTGATTCATCCACTCACTCCTTGGTTTTTCAAGTCCACCCCTGGGTCAGGTTCTGAGTCCCTGCAAGGAAGGGGGGGAGGCAATGGTCCCCGGTGACAATCCACGTGTTTTCAGTACTCACTGAGCGCAGGTCGCTGAGCTCAGCGCTCCAGACCCAAATCACGTGGCCTCATCACCACAGCCCTCTGGGTCGGAAACCCCCCGTTTTCCAGATGAGGAAAGTGGAACCTTGAGCTGGAAGTTATCCAAACGAGTCAGGCTCGTCTGACACCAAAGGGCTCCTAAAAATCTACTCTTTGGGCTATCAGAGCAAGGCAAACGTGGAAAGGTGGAAGATGATTTTGAATTACCTACAGTTGAGGCTTCTTTTTAAAAAGCCCAGTGGCATGAATGAAATGACAGAACAGAAGACAGCAGTGAGGGTGATAAGCTTGTGCAGGTCATTTAGCTATGGGTCTGGGCTGGAGAAGGAGGAAGGGTAGAAGATATGAATGGTTATGGCCAAGAGTTTGAATCACCAGAAAAGAAATAACCCATCTGTCTTGGAAGATTCTTGGCGGTACACTGAATTGGGAACATTATCACATTATGTCAAAGACCAACATGTAGGATTTCTTATTTGTGAAATGTACCATTAAGAAAATAAGAAACCGCCCAGGCTGGTGTGGCTCAATGGATTGAGCACCGGCCTGCGAACCAAAGGATCACCGGTTTGATTTCCAGTCAGGGCACAGGCCCCGGGCTGTGGGCCAGGTTCCAGTAGGGGGCCCATGAGAGGCAACCACATAATGATGTTTCTTTCCCTCTCTTCCTCCCTCCCCCTCTTTAAAATCCATCCATCAATCAATCAATCAATCACTTAAAAAGAGAAATCATGAAACCATCCCCTTCTGAAGGATATTTGTCACTGGTCTCTGATCACTCCAAGTCTAGGTTTCCACGGCACAGGTCTGTGCAGCACTAACGCACTGCCTTTGTGCTGTTCTGAGGATTGTCTCCCGTGTAAAGATCCTAGCTCGGCTGTGCTGTATTTTCTTGAGGATGTCTCATTATTTGTGTGTAACAAGCTCCTGCAGCCCCTGGGCGGAGCTGAGCACTCAGTAGTCTTCCAAATACAATTGCAGAATTGATTTTTTTATTAGATGGGTTTCTTCTTTGGCTCCTATGGATAGTATGTGATATTCAGCACATTATTCAACAACTCTTACCTGATTCTATTGGGTTGCACTTGAAGAGGAACACGTGCCTCATTTTCGCCAGGACTCCTGGTGCACCAGGGGCAGCCACGCAGCTTTCTTAGCTGCAGCTTAACCATTTTTTAAAACTGCAGCAGATCTGGCCCTTCCTATGTTAACTTCACAAGACCGTATCCGAACAAGTTTCTGTTCTAAGAGGTCTCCGTTTTGAAAGCAAGGTGAGGCGGTGCCCATGTGCTCATCCAGGTGGGGGTGGACAGTCCCTCTCAGAAGAAAACAGGACCTGGCCTGGCTGCAGCACCATGTAAGTGTTGGTTACGTAAGCGAATTAGCCTGTGATCAGCCAAAGGGCACGGCTCTTTGCCATACACGCCTGGCCCGGTTGGTTCCTGCGTCTTTGTCCACTGTACTTCCTCTCACTAGCAGTGATCTTTTCTCCTCCTCCCTACACAGGTTTAAGACCCTAGGTGCAGCCTCCGCGACTGGCCCACGCTTTGCCTGCTGCCGTTGTTGGCTTTCCTGCTCTACCTGTGGGCATCACTGCTTGGTGGCCCCGGGCCCCTCCTACTGACGTTCTGCTTCTGACGAAATGCAGGTACTCTGATGTACAGCCTCCTGGGTCCCTTGAGCCTAACATAATGCCCTGAAGAAGGTATGCAATCAATATATATTTGTTGCAAATTATGAACATTCATTTGATTTACCGGTATAAGAAACACTTTTAAAAAGAGGTCTGAAAGTAGAAAAGAGAAGGAAATGAGGGGGAATCTAAACCCTTGCTTAACACAGAGAGGCACTCAAGTTCATTCAAGTGCATGCATGTCATCTGTAAGTAGACTTGCTGAAGGGTGTCAAGGAGATAAAATTCCTGTTTTGCTAAATTTGAAGGTAAATAGACAAAACTACCAACCTCAGTCAGCTGAAAAGCTCAAAATCTTGGAATGGGGGAGATAGCCGCTATGCCTTTGAATTCAGCCTCTTTACACCTTTTAGAGGAAAAAATAATTAAGACAAATGTTGGAGTTATTTCAGAAGGAGCCGACGTGCTGATTCAGAGTTGTGAAGAGAGCTGATTAATCCCTTGAGTGTGTTTCTTTAGGAACCCCAAGAACATGATGAAATTCATGGGACAAAAAGTGACTTTTGTGAATAGAAAGTGAGGCTTAAAAAACAAGAGGGCAGGACCCCTTGGTCTGAGGGGAAGGTGAAAGTCAGAAATAGGCACGTGAAGGCCCACTCAAGCTTTTAGGCCCAAACGGTTGTTCATTTCAGAGTTGATATTTTTTTTCTTTAAAACTTTGGTGACATGTATGGCCTTAACAGAAAAAAAGTTTTTTTCATCAGATATCTATCTTAAGGCCAAATTGATAAACCGATGATCTTAACAGTTGCTGCAATTTCAGTCTCTACCCTGTTTACTCTTCCCTACAAAGGCCAGTGAGGAAAGGCACAAGCATTACATCTAACAGTATTTCTAGGATATTTTACTTGGCGAGGAAGATCCAAAATCATTCCTAAACTTTGCTGAAAATCTCTCACAGTCTGCCACTAGGCAGACGCTCTGTGGGCCTCACCCGGGGCCAGATGGCCATTGTCCAGCTTTGACCAGGCACCACAAAGGAGCTCAGTATATTTGCTGAGGCCTGGAACATTCTGTTGAGGGAGGGTTGCATGACCCGGGGGCTGGGAAAGTCAGAAATTCTCATGGACTTTTAAAAAATGCTGCCAACTTTGATAGTAGCCAAAGGATTTTGGATATTTCGGATTCAGTTTTCAAAACCCAGGAAGAGAGTGGTCAGTAGGGAGAGGAAGAGAACTGTGGCTAATGTCCTCATGGACGGTGTCCGGCCGGACTTCCTTTGAAGATCATTGTGTATGGGACATCAAGGAACGCACTGTTGTAGCTGCAGCAGCAAGAGCCACCTCAGGGACAATCTGGGACAATCTGCTGACTCAGGCAGTCACTGTATTAAGAGTCAAAACCCAGGGGGAGATGTAGCTCTTTTCTTGTGGCCCTCGTGACAGAACGGCGGGAAAGACAAGGACATGTGCCATTATGTGAAGCGAGAGTACTGTGAAAGTATGTGTGGAGGGACGCATGTCCCTCCGTGGCTGCCCCGGTGGGATTTTGTTCAGAGCTGCAGCGAGCTCCTGGGCAGCACGGTCTACACCCTGTGCAGTTTTATATCCCCAGCACCCAGCACCTTCTGGAACATCACAGGATCGCCATTAACTGTTGAAAGAATAAATAACAATCTTGTAAATGCTGAGAATGAGGGGACAGTTGGGAAGCCCATCCGAACCTAGAGAATGCAGGAATTTTGCCATATCATTGTATTGCTCTCTGACAGGTTTTATTATATCCATTTCTACAAATTATACCCACATATTTCACAAAGACAGAGAGAATATTATAGAATGTGAGAAGCTTTAGATCCTGGAGGGATGGCCTCTTACGTTTCAGTTATGTTCTGGGGCGTGTTTGTGATAGGGAAGTACAGACATTATCTCCCCAGGAAGAATTCTGCCTCTATAAAGGGAGGAACTGAAAACCCTGAATGCAGCCTGGGAAGCTCAGCTGTGCCTGCCATAAACCAGCTCAGGAAGCCCATGGTGGGGCTGGAAGGTAAGTGAGCAGCTACCTGCATCAGTCTGTTCCTTCCCGTAGGCTGTGACGCCCCCCCCCCCCCCCCCCGTACCTTTTAGGCAGTCAACTCCAGTCTAGTTTAAAAGAATCTCCTGAGATTCTTAATCTTTCAGCAACCAGCACCTACGGAACAATTTACACGAACGGTTTCAGGTAATGCTTCCTCCTGGGTCATACACATCTTCTGGGAAAATAGAGAAGATGGGTATAACACGCTCGGTTCCTCCTCTTGGGGACAGAAACCCAAGAGCATTTGTCCCTGGGGTTGAGGCCTGCCTGGAGGGCGGGGTGGCGCCCGGGCTGGGCCCGGGCGCCCGGACTGCGAGCCTCTCAGTCTCCTTCCTGACTCCGAAAGGTCTCGGCTCCAGAGCGTCGCCACCCACCGAAGCTCATTCTAAAGTTCTATTTATGCGATTCTCTATGCAACGTCCCACTCCGGCCACCGGGCGCAGGACAGTACAGCACTGCCTGGGAGGTCTGGGAGCCCCACCGTGTCCCCGGAGCTGGCACAAGGTAGGGGTACCGCCTCGGTGGTTTCGGGCGTCCGCGAGGCTGGCGCGTGGCAGGGTCTGCTCCTCTGGTGTCTCGTAATGAACACGGATGTGGCGACTCTGCAGCGTCCAAGGCAGGTGCCTGCGCAGCGCCCGCGGCTGCGGGACGCTGCTCGGCCGCCGACACTCAAGGCTTCTCGGCCCGTGGACCCGGGCGTCCGGAGGGCGCGATTCTCCCAACTTCTGAGTGGAGGCCTGGTTGGGGTCGCGACAGCGCAGGGGGCGACTCGGAGCCTGCTTCGGGGGTTCGCTTCTCTCTGCCAGAGAGGCGAGGAGTCCTGAGCAGGACGGTTTCCCAGTAGGCGGGCCCAGGTAGGCTGCATCCCTCCCGAGACCTCAGCCGCCTCCTGGGAAGGGAACCGAGCCCTTAGGGTTGCCGCCGCTCCCGCGCACCCGGGCCTGGGAACAGCGCCCGGGCTGCGCACCGAGCCCGCGAGCCTCCGGGACGGACGGAGCCAGCGCCCAATCGCGGGGCGGGGCCGAGGGGGCCTGCAGGCGGCGGCCAATGAGAGGTGGCGGCGCGGGCGGGGGGCGGCGCCTCCGGGCCGCGGGCGGCGGCGTCCGGAGCCGGCGCAGCAGACCCGGAGCCCGGGAAGAGTCGGCGGAGCTCGAGGAGGACGCGGACGGCGGCGGCGGAGGAGGAGCTGCGCCGCGCGCCCTCCGCGGCCGGCCGCCCGCCTGAGCGCAGGCCAACAGCTCCAGCGTAGCCGGCGGGTCCGGCCTCCTTCGCCTGGAGCCCGGTGCGGGCAGAGTCAGAGCCGATGGGCAGAGCGGGGCGGCGGGCGGCCAGGCTGCGGCCCCGGTAGTCGCCGCGCGCTCGCAAGCTGTAGCCGGTCCCGGCGGACCGCGTCTCGGAGGTGCGTGTCGAGCGAGCGGACGGGCCCCTGAGGGTGGTGTCGGGGGACCCTCTGGGCGGTGAATTGTCCCGCGGTGAGGGGCCGCCCCGGGGGGGGAGCTGACGGCGGGGCGCTCGGGGAGTCCGGGGGGCTCAGGCGCCGCGGTCCGGCTCGCTGACGCGCCCGCGCTCCCCAGCGCGGTGGAAGCGGAGCCGCCAAGGTTCGTTCTCTCAAAGTTGCGGATCGGCTGAAAGGTTATTTCCGTCTGGGTGACACGCACACTAATGAGGACCCCCTCTGGGTGTCCGGCGACTCCTCTGTGACTGACCTCCGAGAAGAGATGAAAGGTTGCCCGACGCCGTGCAGCGGCGCCCGGGCGGGCGGGGCTGTTGCCGAACTTGCCGCGGGTGACTCCCGGGAGGTGGTGCCCGAGCCCCCGCCGCGCCCGGTCCCCTTTTGTAGGAGGACCCCCGAGCGGCCGGCAACCCTCTCACTCGGGGCGACCTTCCTTCGGAGTTAGATCCTCTGCCGCTGTCCAGGCGCGGGGGTTCGCCGCGTCCTCCGCTCTCGGTCCCGTTCGGTTCCCCGCGCTATCAAAGCTAGTTGGGCCGTGTCCTGGGAGTATCCCCAGGGGCACCTACCGTGAATTTTCTACGTGCGGCAAGTCCGGGGAATCAATTCCGGTTCGTCCTTTCGGAGCGGGAGCCGAGGCTCCTCGGGAAGGAAAACAAGTTGGCATTGCCCCTCTGGGAGGTATTTGTCATCATTAACCTGCTTCGGTTAAATTAATTCAGCCCGAGATGACTCCAGCGCGCGCACTGAAAACATCAAGTGGACTGGGCACAGGATTGTGGCCACCAGGCAGGATTGGGGTTTCAAATAAAATTGCAGAGATTTTGAATTTTGCTCAGCCTTAGACTTGGTTTGAATAAGGGTGGCTTTTTCTTTTTCTTTCTTTCTTTTTTTTTTTTTTAAACAAAGAACCTTGGTGATTCTAATAGGTTTGCTCAGTAAGTTCAAAATAGTCACTCAAATATCTCTTTCTTTGCCTCTTTTGTCTGCAGTTTTCACTTCTAAATGTTAACACTAGATGGCTTTCTTATGACAGGCGTTTAGTGAACTGGGCTTCAGGGTTGCCTGTTCACAACCAGGTCTTAATGTTTCCAGTTTTCCAATTAGTAAGGGAGGGGCAAAAGTCCAGCACTCACTTTCCTTGACGCAGGTTACTTCCCTGTAAATCAATATTTATTTAGTTATCAAAAGGTGGCCCATTATTTCTGCTCTCCTAAAGATGTATTTGAAGAGACAACTCGGTGACTGTGGCTAGCCACAAATTTAAAATGTCCATCTCATGTTTTGATGTATTTGAAGAATTCAAAGTTGTCTGGTGAGATTTGTAAGTCTCTTCAGAGGGCATTTGCACCTTCGATGTTCCTACACCACTTGATTTTGTAGTTCACGTTGTGATTGGTAGAGGTATGCAAGAATTTTTTCATGGGAAAGAACAATCTTTCTTGAGTTTTTGGGTGCAAACAGCATTGATTCTGGCTAAAACTTCCATTGATGCTTTTGGGGAAGTGGCGTAGTTGAAGTATATACGCCTGATTGATAGCAAGGGTTATGTTAGGAACACCTTTCTTTTTTCCCAGCTAGTAGTTGGTTGGCTTTTCATTTTTAAGCACAGCCCCTTTAAGAGAAGCCCAGTAGCCTGCAGTGGGCCGTTTCAGCAGCAGCATGTTCTCCGTTGTGTCTTTCAAGTGCTTTATTTTTTTTTTTAAGTGAGACCATCGCTGCCTGTCCAAATCTTGTCTAGGTAGGCACACGTATTTATAAGCTGGAGAAATATCTTGAAATTATCTTTATAGCTGTCCTTTATTGTGTGTCTTGCTCAGCTTAAAACATAACATCCCGAATTTGTGTGTTCTAAATCAGAGCGTATTCATAAATAGCTGAAGAAAAAACTCTCGTAGCGAACATCTGGGAAATAGAAAATCAAGTTAGAAACAGCTTTTATCAGTACCCACGTGCTGCCTATAGATGGGGTGAAGCGAACTTGGATAAGAACCAGTGTAAGCCTTCAGGCAAGAAAAGAAAGCGGGAGATAAATGGTAGGAATGGAGGTGAAGCTGCCGGTTTTCTCTGGCTGGTCTAAGTGTATATTTTCCATCAAATGCTTTTGCTTTTCGTGTTGTTAAATTTTAGCCTTTCTCGAAGGGCTTTACGGGTATGAAATGTAATGGGAGAATTATCAGAGCATCATGATCTGGCATTTAAAGCCACATAATGTGGGTTAGTAAGCTCTCCCCTCGCCCCCTCCCCCCCAGGACTGAAATGGTATTTTGAAGAGTTTTTGATACTCCAGCTTAGTAAAACACCTGTCTACCTTGAGGGATCTTTTTACCTGAGGCAAAAGTGGTAATGGCTTACTCATTTTGAAAATCTATCTGTCCTTGAAAGTGAGGAAATACTAGTGAGCTGTCTGAAAGGGCAATTGTCTGGAAATTGACACTGGTTTGAAAGTGCTGTGTTTGGTCCTCAAAAGTCGCTTTAAAAGGGATTGCTCATTTACTGAGGGCTTTGCAAAGAACTGTGCGCGTATGTGGATATAGCATCCTATCCCCCAGCCGTAATGGTAAATGCAGGGTCGTCTTCTGTTTTTAGATTGTGGGAGACATTGAGTCTTTGAGTTTACGATCTACTCATGGTGGGAGTTTAGCACTGCAGCTCCTTTCAAAGACACACTGACTTTGAAGAAAATTTAGACTGTTACTATGAACTGAAATGCAGAGGTTTGTGTTTGTTTTGAACTTGAATGAAATATGCAGTACAGTCCTAAAGAATATAGGAACCCATATTCCAGATCTTCTGCTTCTATTTAGGGTAACTAATTGCCTTGCAGGGTGGTGGACTAGAAAGAGCACCTGGGCAAAAAGGGCAAGAAACTCCCATTTCCTGACCCTGCTACCTGTCGCAAATGAGTTTGGATGAAATAGTTCCATGATCTCCTTCAGCACCAAAATTTTAGGTTTCTTTAAACATTTCAAATAAATGTGTTAGTGTAATGACAGCGAGCAAACGATTGAGATAATGTACATTTCCTCATGAGCGGGTCTTTCTTTGGCGTATAGTAAGCTTGTATATGAACGTTAATGAGAGTTGTAGCTTACTTGACTTACCCTGAAATCATTGATTCAGAAATTGCTTTTCTGTTCCAGTCACATTGACTTTTAAGGGAGGGATAAGAGTGTGATCGGAACTGAACATGCTCCAAACTTGAGATAAACCATTTTGATCCTGTCCAAACTTGGTTCATAAACTTCGGTTCCAGAGAGTGGTTTTAGGAAGCCAGATCTGATCCGCAGTAGAGGCTCTCTTTCTGGAGAGATTTGGTATTTGGTGTAACCCAATCCTTGTTCTGTTTTTTTTTTTTTAACACATGTACGACATGGTATAGCTAACTTCCACGAGAGGACAGAAGAAAAGATGTGGTTGAGAAAAGTGGAGTCTTGTCATAACGTCCCTGTACCAGGAAGGGCTTTAGGGTTATTGTTCAGTTACCCCTCTACTTTTTGTTTTCATCCTTGAACTTAAAAGCGAAAACAAAAGCAAGTTTTAGTGATGGCCGTATCTGTCAGTATGTGACGTTGCTACTTGACAATTAACACAGCAGCCACTTTTAATTTTAGCCCCTCTCCCAGAGCTTTACGTTTATGGAATGTAGCAGGACAATTATCAGTGCGTCATGATTTGGCAGTTAAAGTTGTGTAACGTGGCTTTGTAAGTCCTACCCTGCCACCCCCGCTCCCCAAAGGAGGGATATGCCTGCCCTCAGAGTAGAGGGTTGTCCTTCCCCTTCAGAGAGCACGTTTGTTAAGGTTGGCTCCACGCATGCGCAGGTATCCCGCATGCGTGTGCGCGCACGTCCCCCCCACACATGTGTGCTAGTACCCCTGTACGCACTTGTGTGTGTTCTCCCCACACACGTTTGTGTACCAGCCCACACACAGACACTTTTGCCTTTTGTTGGGCCAGTGAAAATTGCACTAAGTACCAGGGCGTGGGAGTCACTGACTGGCTCAGCTAACCCTTCTTTGATGCTCGGATCCCTTTATGCTCACACAGTGGGCAGAAAGTCTCCCATCAACACCTGGACATTGCCAGGAAGGCCAGCCCCCACCTTTCCGATGCTGTTGACCACCAGAAAGTGTCTTGTGTCTATACAATTGAAATCCAATTCCACCTCCTTATTGGAATCCTGTTCCCTGGTGGTCCGAAGGGCAAACCTTTCCATAGAGGTGTTTCAGTCCCTCACTGAACAGTGCCTGTCACCGTCGGGCAGGGTGCCGAAGCGTTCTCTCACAGCCCCTGTCGAGCGGGCAGGCTGCCCTTCCTGCCAGGCGTGCCCCACCTGCACTGCAGTCCAAATCTGCATCTGTTTTCCGGTGCCCATGCTGCTCTCACTTGGTGAGTTTGCTCTTCACCGAGCCCCGAGGCCTCACCCACGTGCTGTCCCTGAGCCTGGTCTGCCCTTCCTGTGCCAGTCTCCTTGCGGGGCCTGACACGCACTGTACCACATTTTGCTGCATTTTTGCTTGCTCTTCCCACGGTTTTTGGAGTTTTGATTCTCTTATGTAGCACCTTTGCCTGCCCTCCCACAGAACTGCTGCCTGCCCAGAAGATCAGACTGCTCTTTATATCTTTACCTCAGTTGGTGATAAATCGTTAAACTGGCTGAACCATGAATCATGTCTCTGGAAGCTTCCTTCCAGGTTTACAAGGAGTCACATTCCTTTGGTTACAGTACAGCATTAATGTGCTTAGTATTTTATAACTAGTCTGTATCTCCACCTGCTCCACACGGGTTTGCTGCAAGTCCACACCACTCCTCCTCTGCCGGTTCTACTGACCGAGTTATTCTAAGAAGGAAGTGAGGTCAAATTTCGTGTGTCCCTGGTGACTGGAACTGTACTGTGTGCTTGCTTGGTGATTGAGAAATATTTAATGACTGTCTGAACGTGTAGGGTCACCCTGTGACCTGTGACACTCTGGCAAGGTCTTAGGCACTGAAAAGATTGTGGAAAAAAACCCCAGAATATTGGACTTTGTTAAACTTATTTTT